TATGTATGTATGTATGTATGTATGTATGTATGTATGTATTTATTTATTTATTTATGTATGTATTTATTTATGTATTTATTTATGTATATGTACATAGCAGATCTGGGAAACAAAAACAACATTTGAACAATTGGTAAGAAAAAGGTGATTTTAAATATATAATGGGATACAGTTTCAGTGAATTCGTATGTAAACATAAATCTCATTTAATTGGATAAATGTTTATTTTTAATATATATATATATTTTTTTTTATACCGATCACCGACGAATGAAACGTATATTAATTTTTCCAAGATGTTTGCAACATCCAGAAGGTAGCTCCACATATCCCATAAAGTATATGTACCCTTGATCAGTATCAAAATGACTTTGAAAATAACCCAAACAGGTCAAAGACCACGCCCATAACGTCTATAGAACCAAAACTGAGAACATCTTTGTTTTCCTGTGTCATTTGCTCATTGCTCATAACCTATTAACAGATACACGATATAAATTTCCGCAAAACTATTCTAAAATAGTAGAAAAAATTAGCCACGCCCATTCAGTTTTATAGAGTAAATAAATTCGTTCTATAAATTCGGCCGAAATATATCGTTCTACCATCATCATCATCAAAATATTTCGAAAATTGCGACCAATAGATTGAGCTCAAGAATATATCAACGAAACTCGGACGGACAGACAAGCTTAAGTCGATTCACAAAATGATTCTAAATCTCTCGGTACAGTACATAACAATAAGGCGGACAGACGGACGGACAGAGACTTAAATTAGAAAGTTAAAAATCTTGAAAAATTTCATCAAATTTTCCAAACACTCTTTGTTTTCAAAAAAAAAAAAAGATTGAATTACTTCCTCTTGAGGTACATTAATTTTTGTCGTCGACGCTCACGGACCAAATAGTCTATTAGCAAAAATAGAATATTCCATTAAATCTAATTATTCTCTAATAACATTGCATTTTCGAAATGCAGTCAAATTTACATTTCACTCTACCCTTCTAAGCGGCAGTTAATTTCAAGAGCTTAAATAACATTAATTTAATTTTAATAACTTGCAGTATATGAGTATAGTTAGGATAATTTAAAAGAAAGTCTTATTATTTTTAGTTTCTCATGAATTCGAAATCCAACAGTAAACAGTTAACAAAGAAAATCGGAATATCTTTGGGGAGTATAGTTTTCAGTGGGGAGGCTCAGTTTTTTATACCCATCACTGAAGGACGAGTGGTGGTGTATTCGCTTCGTTCGTCAAAACGTTTGCAATATCCGGAAGGAAGTAACGGAGCGTTCACAAAGTATATATATTCTTGATCAGCATGAAATTCTAAATCGACTTGACCAGCATGTCCATCCGTCCGTCTGTGTAATATTTGTTGCAGACAATCTCCTGGCCGCAAGAATGAAACTATTTTACTTCAAATTTGGCAGAAGTATGGGAAATTCGTACGCAGTTTGATATTGGAAATGGGCCAAATCGGTCTAAGAAAATGCTTACAGCATCGCGGAAACCGTGGTATATTTATCTCTGTTTTTCCAAAGGAATTAAAAAATTGATTTTTTGCTCATTACTCATAAAGTAAAGCAGATTAAATGTACAAAAATTTGAACGCATACTCCATGGGCGATACTGTAGCTGTGATGTACAAATATAGGACAAATTGACCACACCTACTCAACATTATAAGGTATCAAGTATATAAATTCTTGGACAGTTTCAAAATTGGAATGCACCTAAACATATCCGTCTGTTCGTCAGTCCAGCCGTTCGTCTGCCCAACTGTGTAGCATCAATGGTAAACGTTCTCCCGCTCGCAAAAATGTAGATATCGCCTACAAATTTGCAAAAAAAATTTGGAATTGATCTAAACTTTTCAAAGGACACGCCTGCAAGGCCCACATGCCTACACGACAAAAACTTTTATTTTGAAAATAGAAAAATTCAGCCGCGCCCACTCCATATTATGGACCATGAAACTTTAGTTCTTTTAATTTTTTTTTTTTTTTTTTTTTTTTTTTTTTGGTTATTAGGGATGGCTATAAAAGATTCAATCGTGAATTTTTATTTTTTTTTTTTTTTTTTTTTTTTTTTTTTTTTTTTAGGACAATAGTGATGGCTATAAAAGATTCGATCGTGAACTTTTATTTATTTATTTTTTTTTTAAATGTAAACTTAATTTTTACAGATCTGTGACCAACTTGTGATCGATATAGATTAAAAATTAATAATATTTAATATTATTATTAGTAATATTTAAAAATGTAAGACGGAAATCATCTTATCGTCTTTGTAGTCAAGAAGCGGTATATATTTAAAGTGTCAGAGTGTCAGAATACGATTTTTCAAACAAATACAATATTCCTATTTTTGATCGCGCCCATCATCTATCGTTCCGCCCTTCCTCGTTTATTTCTTTTTTTCTTTAACATTTAGTTCTCTAAATAATATTTTTGGCTTTTAATTTGTTTAAATTGCAATGATGTGATTAATGTAAGCCCACAATAGCTCTTCGGAGATTATACTTTCTTCATTGTCATTCATCTAATTTATAAATCAAAAATCAAATTTAACCAAAATCAAGAAAAAAAAAAAAAAACTATATTGATTACAGTGCTGCATCTACAATTAACTACCAACTAATATAGCTAAGTGAATGATGATATAGAACACAATGATTGCATATATGCTGGAAATATATATATATATATATATATTTATTTTTTTTTTAAAAATCTAAAGAACTACTCATAAATATAAATAAATGTACGTGATATTTGCCTTTGTGTACAGAGATGTTATATAGCGTTGTTGTTTTTTTCAGATGTTTTAAGATGAGAGCAGAACTCGCAAGAACCGCAATATAATTAAGGTAACACGTGACGGATATAACGCAGAGCAGACAATCAGTTTTAAGTTTGTTTTGTTTCTATAGCAAATTGACAGTTTTTTATTTTCATTTTTTTTTTTTTTTTTTTTTTTTTTGAGTCTATGATGTTTAGCGTCAACAAGTAGAAGGAAGAAAGGAAGAAAAAAGGCAGAGTAACAAAAAGAAAAAAAAAATTTTAGAAAAAAGAAGCTTTTCTACTATCTTGCTGCTTAAATAAGCAAAAAAAAAAAAAAATAATAAAATAAAAGAAAAAGAAAACTTGTAAAAATGTGTTCTTTTCCTTTGCTTTGAATAGTTTTAATTAATTAATTTTTTCAAAAATATGCAACTATATTTTATAACAATTATATATGTCTCTCTATCTGTGTGAGTATGTACTTATATATCTGTAGTGTATTACAGTTTTAAATGCTTAGTTTTTATTCCTTTATTTATTTATATTTTTTTCTTTTTTTTTTCAATTTTTTTTTTTTTTTTTTTTTTTTTTTAACAATAAACACTTTTACAATACCTAGAAGTTAACCTTTTAGTGATTATTAAAACTAAATTCAAGTGTAGTGCAACACTTTGTATGGTGGTTGGAGTGGTAACTTTCAGAATTTTTTTTCCTTTATTTTTTTTTACTTATATGATTCAAAACAGAAGCAAGCGTTTCACTTCGTCAAAACGAAAAAAAAAAAATAAATAAATAAAAAAAATTGAGATCAAAGTTCTTTCTGATATTTCTAAAAATTGAATTGAAAGTACTCCTGTTACCTTGCATATACATATATTCGAAAAGTATTGAGAAATTGGCTATCTTATTGGGGAGAGGTTACATAGTCTGAACACAACAACGTTTGTAACAACGTATGTTTTTTCTTCCTTGTTTGTATTGTAGTGTTGGGATAATGGAGGAAGAAATGTGTGTATGAGCAATGCATAGCAGAAGGCAGAAAGAAACTAATTTAAGAAATTTATGTTGGACGCCAAACATCAGGATCTTCCATAAGTGTTATATTCTGATCGGTGCTCATTGGCATTTGTCCATCACTGCCCGCCTGCATTTGTGTAGGCGAGGTAGCTGCAGCAGCCATATCCTCCCTTGAAGCTCTACAGCACCCATATTTAAGTATGAGAAATAACAACAACAATAACAATATAAAAAAAAAAAAAACAAAGAAAAATGCACAGTAAGTTGAGGTAACATATTATTTTAACGATGATTTTTGACATTGGTTTTTTTTTTAATTTTTTTATTTTTATTTTATTTTTTGTTGACGCATTGTTAAAACATTGGACAATAAATAGCAGCGTTTGTTTTGTTAGGGAAAGAGTATAACAAATACAAAAAAAAAAAAAAGAAAAAAAAAATTATAATATTAGTCACATTAAATGATCTCTCTTCACTGCCATTTTGGACAAAGAAATGTAGTTCAATATATTTGATTTTTGCGTTACTTACTTTTTGCCCAAGCCCATCATACCATATAGTACGCCAGTGCCGAATACCAAAGCGCAAGGAAACAAACTGCCCAAACCGAAACACAGAAAAACAGGTAACAGAGCAAGTCTAAAAATGAATTAAATTTAATTAAATATATTAAAAACACACACACGCGCACACACACACAAAAAGAAAAAAAGAAGCAGAAAAGACTTTTCTCTCCTTTAGCACTTACACACAATAAAATGCCGCCCGATTCCATAATGGTCTGGCGTCAGTCCAAGTAGCCAAATTATTGACGTGGTCTATACAAAAAAAGCAACAAGGAGCTTCCAATGCCATCACTATGAACCCGATTAATACTTGCAAAATGCCACCAATTAAACAACTAACATTAAATGTTATCACCGCCAAGGCATTAAATAAACCAAACAGAATGCAAACTGTGAAAAGATGAAAAGGCATTAATTGAATTTTCAATGTAACGATAAATATATTTAATGCAGATGTGGAATAATATCTAATTGTTTTTATTATATTCCGTTATTATAGGGAATTAATAAAAATCATTAAATTTTTTTTTTTTAATTTTGAAAAGTCCTGACTGATCCGCTAAGATATTTAGCCTTACACAGTACGATGATACACAGTATTGCACAGTGTTTTTCCAAACCAACCTATAGGACGACCATTACAAGTTATCTAGTGCTTGAATATTTTTCGGTTATTCGCCAAAAGCTCTTGATCCTCATGCGGCGTTAAGCCACTGCCGATTCAGACAACTAATGTCAATTCGTAGCTCATCTCAAGTAAGCCTGATAGTGAAAATCCCCTAAAAGCTGTTCTGCTGCCATTAATGTTTGTGTGCACAAAAAAGGGTTCAGCGGCTGCTTGGTTTTTTCAAGTCTCTTTTTCTATTACTCGTCGAAATTGGTTAGTACTTTTAGTCGTCATTCTGCCTACCTTATATCTTTTAAGTATAAAATCGAGTTTGACTGCACCTAGTTGGGAATCAGCCGGGCATGGATTCCGAATTTTTTTATTTTTTTTTGGGAATCGTACATACTGAAAATTTATGGATGATGGATATCAATATTTTTTGTAATCATTTTGAAATTCGTGTTTTCACATTTTCACGTGTCATCTATACGAGCTCGTGAGTGAAACGCACCCATTACCAAAACTACATTGAAGTACTACGGTTAAGTATGGCATTGTGTATCAAGCTTCACTTTTCTATTTTGGTTTTCAGCTGACGCACTAATCTGACTAAATTGATTTAGATTTTCACACTGATTAGCCACATGAACACTTTGATATCTCGACCATGTATTCCAAGCGAATATGAATACAATTGCAAAGCTTGTAAGCCCCATTAATTATAATATAAAAATAGCGAATGCAGTTTAGAGTGGCATTTAGAAAACCATTAGATAGATGAATTAAATTCGAGGAATACTCGTGTTGTACTAAAAAAAAAAAATTAGAAAAACATTTGTTAATTGTTAAGTTGTTCGTAAAGTCACTGGATTTAACTGCATTTTCTTTTCTTGCTGCCAAATTGATGTTTGAGTTGCATTCTTATTACATATTTTAACAACTAACATAGTAAGGTTTCTTCTTGAAAAAGATTTGTTCGATTCTGCACAATTGCCTTTGTTCGCCGTTTTATTACCTATTGAAAGTCGAAAGCAACGAAACCTGGCATCATTTAGTTTTTTACTATAGATACTGTGTAAATGGTATTCAAGAGAGAAAAAAATTATTGAATGTATGTGAAGAACATGCATTGACAAAAGACCAGTGCCAAAATTAGTTTATAAATTTCATCCCAACAATTTCGATACCACGTTCTCTAGACGCATTTTTAAAGCCGATTAAGATAAAAAAAAAAAAAAAAAAAAAAAAAATTCATGACAATAAATTTTAAAAAAAATGAACGCAAATAATTCGTAAGAGCACTGCCAGATTACGATTCGATCGACCGTTCATAATAATATATTTATTCGCTATAAAAAAAAAAAATTGTCTTTCATTTTGATCAAAAAAATACAATGTCGTTCCGAACAACCCAATAGAAAGTAATGTACCCTCTTTCAATAATATCATTCCCTACATTTACTAAAGTTGTTGAGACTTTTCAGGTAATCTTCTCCCAAATTTTTGGATAAAGTTTTCGTACTTTGGAAACGCTTTATAAAGAATCAAAGGTTTTTCTCCATTTGGCATTTTGATGTTGTTAGAGAGCGATGTCATAGTAAAGTGTCTAGGGAATAGGATAGATGGTAAAGCCGTTCCCATTCCATTGCCGCCGTTTGCGATAATTGGTCTGGCATTAGTGTTATAAAACAGCGTTCGTTTTCCAGATGCTGAGGATAATTCATGCCGATTTAATTGTATTACATTAGATGCATTAACCAATTTTCAGTGCTACTAATAGTTTCTAGGCAAATTTTGCAACAGAGACTCGAGTATTATCGCGTTGAAAAACTCACTTTGTAATATCTTTCGGATTATTCTGCCTTTAAATTGCATCATTCACCGTCAGCGCCACATAACGAAGATATCATTAGGCTTAGCAGCTTATTATATGCGTTTCACTCGGATGATACCACGGAAATACGGAGCATGATCTTGACTCCATGAATACTCAGCTTGGTCGTCCGATTATAATGGTGCAACTAGCCAGAGCAATCTGATTTAATCCGCTTCCTTTGAAGCGATACTTTTATCGCAATGCACTGTTCAAACTGGACTCGGAAGTTTTTATTAAGCAAGACTTTTAACAATGAGTGATTTGTAAGCGTATTTATGGTCGGTATGTCAATAATCGACAATTCATCTATCATCTTTTATTGGAACGAACTTGAAATTCTGTGATGAAATCGATACGATATTATTTGTTGTTGACTATAGTTAATATTGAAAATTCAATTTGATTATGCGAAGGTCAAGACAGACTGCGCTTTCTTCATCTTATTAAACACTGATTGTTGCCGTAAATTGTTTCCTACATTTTTGCAGAGGTGCAAGCATCGATTCTCACAATTCTATGCCTTTCAGCAGCAATTTATTTCAATATCAAATAGTATAAGCAACAAAACAAATTATATTCAATTGGGGCAGAATGTTTTACACCCATTATAACCCTTTAACTCAAGTAAAAAACTATTTTCGTCTATGATCGAATCTTTTATATACCCATCAGATTAAAAAAGTAAAAAAAACAAAAGAAAAACGAAAAAAATTAAACAATAGGTAAGTAAGTATTAGATGGGTGTGGCAGATTACTTCTATTTGCGTACACATTTATTAGGATCGTCCACACAATACATTTGTAAATTTTTATACGTTCTACCTTTATCTAGTTTCTAGTCTATGAGCCATAAATAAGAAATGCAGAAAGCAATTTACACTGCAGGCGAATCTCTCGGTCGAGTTCAATACTATTTTCAATACCAACTTGCACGTAAAAACTTCCAATGTTTTTGCCAAATTTAACAGATACTAACCCCTAAATTGGTCTAAATCAATTCACAATTCATTGCAGTTCAAGAGCATTTAAAAATTATCGCGACAAGACAATGTTCACGGTGGAGATTGGTTTGCTCATAACTGTAGTGTGAGTATTCAGTCGGTAAAAGCATAATGTTTACCGATTGGTCACGCATCCACTAAGATGCAGCCACTACTTCCCTATCTCCTTCTCTTTCTTAACTTTTTTTTGACCGTCGTCAGTGTTACCACGTTACAGAAGAAGGGGGATGCCGCAAGTGATTGTTTATATTCCTCTATTACTATACTTTATGCGGTCTCTAAAACTTTCTTCTGGATGTTGCAAACGAGTTGACGATATAACAATACTTCCATCTTGCGATGGTAAGCATCGTGACGTCGTGACGAAGTTTTTTTTATACCCATCACTGTTATCGTACCAAAGAATGAAAAGGTGAAAGAACTAAATTTTCATACTCTACGACTGATTTTTTCTATTTTCGAAATAAAAGTTTTTGTCGTGCAGGCATGTGGGCGTTGCAGGCGTGTCCTTTGAAATGTTTAGATCAATTCCAAATTCTTTTGCAAAATTTGTAGGCGATATCTTCATTTTCGCTAGCGAGAGAAGGTTTACCACGAGTACTACACAGTTGGGCCAACGGACAGCTGGACTGGCAAACAGACGGATATTGTTAGGGGCATTCCAATGCAATCTAAAACCGGCCAAGAAGTTACATACTCTGTGGGCTTTTTTGAAGCTTGTGGCAGTGCTGTGTAAAAATTTTGAAAAAAAAAAATTTTAATTTTGATACGCTATAATATCGAATAGGCATGGTCAATTTTTTTCCATTTTTATAAACGTACTACAGCGTCTCCCAAGGAGTATATGTATAAACTTTTGAAGATTTATCTGCTGTAGCTGATGAGTAATTAGCAAAAAAATTAATTTTTTATTCATTCTAAAAAATAGAGGTATTCTCAGTTTACACGGTGCATGGCCGACCGATTTGACCCATTTTCAATACTAACGGGCGCGCAAGAATTTTCAATGCGAACTTTCTGTGCGAATTTGGAGTCGACAGCCTCGTTTTTGCGGCCAGGAAAACAATTATAACAGACAGACAGACGTACCTATATCGATTTAGAATTTGATGCTGATCACGAATATATATACTTTATAAGATCTCCGATATTGCCTTCTGGGCATTGCAAATGTCCTGACAGAATGAATATACCCCTCATCAGGGATGAGGAGATGACTATAAAAATTCGAAAGCCGCCACCTCCATCATTTTTGCTTATACAGTATGTGAAGTGATAAAGTTCATTAAATAACTCAACTAAGAATGCTCGGAATTTGTACAACTATTTCGCGTGAAAAAGTTTCAAATCAAAAATTTCTTTTACGCTATGCACAAAATACACTCAGCTTAGTAGAAAAATCAAAAAAAAAAAAAAAAAGAACGCTCCGTTATTTGAATTTCGGACAAGAAACGAGGAAAGCTATTATCTTTCTTTGTTCTTTCGACATTTCCAGTAAGCAAATAAGAGTCAAGTTGACAGAAACATTGCGAATATTAAGCTAATAACATTTCTTACTTACTTACATGTTACACTAGACTCATCGCAAGATGTATAGGGCATGCGATTGCAAATTGCTTATATATTATACATTGGCTTATTATAAAATGGAAAAAAAAAAAAAAAAAAAAAAAAAAAAAAAAAAAAAAAAGTTATCCTAAACACTACGTATATACGATATTTGTAATCATTCCATTGCAATAAACAAAGTTTGATAAAAATCGTATTTCTCCTCATTTCCAATAGCATTGCAATCGATAGACAAAATGTAAAAAAAAAAAAAAAAAATGCATGAAATGTTTAATTTGATTACCAA